TAAGTATTTTTATTGTTTTATTAAAAAAAATGTTAAAAGATATTCTTCCTTTTAATTTTTCACATAATGATTTTATATGTTTTATGCTATTTGGATTGCAATCTTCTAACAAATCACAGCCAAATGAACTTTTAAACCTTATTTTATCTTGTGCTAGGCAAACTATCTATATTAGAAGAAACACCTGCATAGACAATCCAAATAGTAATATTGATCTAATTAAACTTTACAAACATATTTTAGGAAAATCTCTCTTATATATTAAACCCCTGTATAAGAGACATGTTTTTATTCGAAAATTTATTTTACCCTCCTTTTTTATTAACATACAACTGGATAATTCTATTGGTATTGATTTTAACTAAGTTTTAAATCCTTACTATAATGTTTTCTTATTTTATTCAAGAGTGAATTACCATAGTTTTAGTAGGCGACGTTTTTATAGCGCTATACACAAACACATGTAGTCTCATATGAATAAGTATTTTACTTTTTTTACTCCAATAAAGAAACTTCATCTGTGATAATGATTTATAATTTTTCCTTTTAATTATATGATAACTGTGATATCATTGTATTATATTGTATTGTATATTATAACTTATGATGAATAAATATTTACAAGAAAAAAAAAAAAAAAGCGCGTTCGGCTGTTAACCGAAAGGTTGGTGGTTCAAGCCCACCCAGGGACGATCATTTTTTTTTAGTCTGTGGTAAACTACTGATCCGTCCATGTCCTTACTCGTAAGGAGATTGACGTTGTCAGGATGGCCGAGCGGTCCAAGGCGCTGCGTTCAGGTCGCAGTCTGGTTCTCCAGGCGTGGGTTCGAATCCCACTTCTGACATAATAGTTTTAATGTGTTCTTACCTTCATTGGGTTAATCCTTAACACATTTCCATCCCTTTTTAGCGAACAGGAGACACAAAACACAGCTAAAATCCACTGTTTTGATTGTATCCATGCTGAACAAGTAAACAAACGTCACAAACTTCATCACTATGGTTAACTATTGTTGACGTCATTGTTCGTGTGCAAATAGAGAAAATAGAAAAATTAGGAAAATTGG